ACGCACGCACGCACGCACGCCACGCAACGCAACGCCACGCAACGCAACGCCACGCCACGCCACGCAACGCAACGCCACGCAACGCAACGCCACGCCACGCCACGCAACGCAACGCAACGCCACGCAACGCAACGCCACGCAACGCAACGCCACGCAACGCAACGCCACGCACGCACGCACGCTTCACAATCCTCTGGAGCAGATTGAAATTGCAAGAGTTCTCATGTGGAAAGCCTCAGCCCACCTCCCACAACAACAACGAGTCTCCGGTCTCTACTCCCTTTGGCAAAGACTTTTCGACCGCGACAAGACGGCTCAGCGAGCCTGCTCGACGGACTTCACCACTTGCTCCGAGAAACCTGGGAGATCCTAGTATGCTAGTGCTCGGATAGCTCGTACGTTTGTCTAGATATGGGATTGATGAGCATCCTGCCGTCGTCCATGCAAAGAATTCAAACGGCGGGATCGGATCCTAGTGGTGCATCTGGCTTCAGAGGCCAAGCCGCTCTTGTACCTGATGCCCTTCTCCTTCTCCTGAACATGATGTTCCAAATGCCAGAAATACTCCCTGAATTTCGTGGTTTCGCATGGTTTCGCATCGTCGCTGCACCGTCACTGCCGGTTCAACAAAGCCTCAGGAAGTAGGAATGCTTAGGGCGTTCTCTGCTCGCGGACCCACTTCAAGCACATGGTTGTCCGTGCACCATCTGTATGGCTTTGTCTGCCCACATCGAAAAAACATGAAGCAAGACATGGTCGGTCAAACTTTTGTGGCATAAGATCGTACACTTGAAGACACGAAGTGTAGAGGCTGACGACTCAAGCTTCCATTCCCAAGTGCGCCCATAAAGGGTGGAACTGCACTTGTGATTCAAGAAAAGCTAGTTTCAGGAGATCGAAACCTTTATTCTCACCCTGCATTAGACTGGGGTCTCACATAGCACAAGTTGGTCGAAGTGGTTTGTCGTTGCATCTTCCACACAACAGAATCGTGACAGGCATTGTGACAGAAATCATCTTCATCGTTCCGAACATTACTCGCCGCTTCTCTGCGGGCAGGCCTTGGCCTGCAAAGTGTCAAAATCGATGCAGCAATATCCGCCCGCCATCGTCGCCTCTCCACGCTCCAGTCGATCCCCCAAAAAAGCAACTTCGAAGACCTGCCTGGTGCAGCTGGGGCGCACCTCCCGGCTTTGAGCAACGTGCGCGGTGACCCCAAGCGGATGCCCAATCGAAAAGTGGCAGAATGCGGCAGATAATCCAATAAAGGTCAGGTTCGCTGACTTGAGCTCTTTGATCCCACAAAATGCAGGCAATTGAAAGCAAGCTACGCCGGGCATCTGACGAGACATGAAGCGCCACATGCCGCCAAAAAGGCATGCAGACTAGAAAAGACAACGAATGGAGAGCTGAAGCAGTCCGCACTTCAACACATAGCGCAAAGTGGCCTGCCTAAAGCTTCAAGCTGGAAGGCAGGGACAATCGCACTTGCTCCAACTATCCCAAGGTGCTAATTCTTGGAACGTGCACGTCCTGTACAGACGCAGAAAGTGCAGAAGATTGTGAAGGTCTGCGACCCTACGAGCACAGGTGTGCTTCGCACACTTGTTCAGGCAGGCAGCATAACATAATGTTAATCCTGTGCATTGTATACACTATGGAGTGCGGGTGGTGGCCCAACTGTCAGGCGAAAAAGAGCGCAATGTTAGACACTGCAGCACCAACACCTCAAAGGCAAGGTCGTGTATCTCTTCCCGCGACGAGTGACAACGACTTCAGGATACTCCGACCGCAAAAAGTTTGGTAAACTTTGCGACTAAACAACACGAGCGCAGCAGCATCAACCCACGAAACCCTCTTCGTGCAGCACCCTCCAGGCCCTATAGCTCTTGCATGCACACTCGTTCTGCGGCTCAGCTGCAATCTGTGCCAAGTCGACAGGCGCCTGCAGCAATTGCTCCGAAGAGTCAACGACACCGATGACAGCTTGACGGCATGCTTCACTCTCTGCGAATGAGCTCGACTCTAGATCGAATGAGTATGGGGTTTTTAGTTTCGGGAAAGCGTGAGTCAGCGGCAGGCATGGCTGCCAGCCGCTTCCCGTGAGGCCTCTGAGACGCAAAGCTAGCGCTGCCCAGAAGTGCCTCAAGCAATGCGGGAACTCCGCTGCTGTGCCACTGAAGTAAAGTACCGATTTGGGGCTCTCGAGGCGCACCTTGTAGGTGTGTCGCAAGCCCTGCTTGACCGCAACGTCGACAGCACTTCCTAGTCGGGACGAGGCAAACTTCCAGGTCCAAGCTTCCTCAGCACCATGCCGAGGAACCCGGCCACACTTCGATGAACCCTGTGTAGCCGAATCCTCCCAACCCCGTTTGAGGAGAACGCTTCGTCCAAAATCCAGCGACGGAGAAGATGAAAACGCGTTGAAAAATGGGGTGACCCACAAGCGTACTGCATGCACTGGCCGTGTAATGTCCATCCAATGCAAGCATAGGAGGTTGATCGCCTGCAGGCCCCACGGCATGAGGATCAGCACGGAGTCGGAGCAGCCTAAGCCACCAAGGGAACCAACACAATCACACAGCTCCAGGACTGCATAGAAACACTTTTCTCCTTTTCGGGGGCACGGTACGCACAGCGAATCGAGAAGACCGGCTAGCTCGCATGTGCTTCCAATCACCGACATGTCTTGTATCCTATTCAGAGCATTGATAGATCAGCTGTCTGCGGAAGCTCCAGCATTGCTGGGCGCGGCCCTCGTTGAAACCGCACTGTTACAACAACATGACGCGCCGGTTACTAATCAATGTTGTTTCAGCTCCGGCAGTGCCACGGCTCAGAGTTCCTGCCCAAAAAGCCTCCTTCGCTCTAGTCGCACACCCTTCCGCGGAGGCACTGCTTGTCAAGTGGAGGATCGGAGATGTGATGCGCATGCCGTCTGCCACACTTCACAACCCAACATCCGCAAAATGATCGGCGAACCGGAGGCCGAGTGGAGCCAAGTCCTCAGGAGCTTGGCACCTCTACAAAATTCATGAATGAGCAGCTGTGGTAGGCTGCCGTCCTTGCGATTTGAGACTTATGTCGCTGTGCATCAGCACCCTCGTTTTTGGTATTCTGATGCATGGCAAGCCTCGCGGCTTGCGCCTGCAACGTGCTTCTTCCACTCTTGATGCCCGCAGCAAAGGTAGAGGGCATTCGAGACTGTGTTCTGCATGGCTGGCAGAGTGGAATCCGCTGTCTGCCGACAGGCTCAAGCAAAACCTAGCAACATCTAGCGCACTTGGCTATTATGCTAGGATCACATTCGCATCTCTGCCTTGCACCACCTCGTATACAGGCAGCCACCACTTGTTGCAGTCATCTAGATCATCTGCGCTTCTCTGCGGCCTGTTCCGAAAACCTCTACTTCCACTTCTGGAGCCTGGGGTTCAGGGTGTGCATTAGTTCGAGATTGGGAGGGTTTGCCAGCGATTCAGGAACTGAAGTCATACCTGTAATGCTGAGGTGTCGACTGGAGGACGTCCCCAAAGCTTCGAAAATCTCCATAAGAAAGGTCTTACTCGATCTTGCCGTTGCTTGCTTCAGCTTGTCGAAGGCAGTGGTCTGGCTTCCAAAGAACAATCCGGAGGTAGTCTCCAGATGCGTTAGCATCTCCGGCACGCTCCTGCCGGCGATTTAAAAGCTGCAATGCGGGGCTCCGCACAGCTGGCAGCCGCGGGGCCCCCACTTCTGCAGATCTAACAAAGTGACGTAGTTTGACGCGACACAGTTGAATGAATTCCGAGTGGAAAATTTCCATGCTCAGAAAAAGATCCTGCAGGGTTGCGGATGATCCCGCCAGCAAGTCTCTGGCACCAAACATGAGATTAGCAAAAAGAGGATCACAAGGCAGCTCACAGAAACTGCGCTTTTGAAATCCAGTCAGAGCAAGCTTTCGGTTGTCATCTCGCACGTCATTGAAATTCACCTTCTGCAAATAAAGAGGTAGCAGCAGACATTTTTCCTGGGATGCAGATCTATTTTTACTGTGTGAGTGTGTGGCAAGAAGTATCCTGACTGCTGCTTCTGCTCCGTGTTTCAGAAGCCAGAGGGGCGCAGCTGCACGGGGAATCGCACAAACATTTCCAGCTTGAGGCTAAGGGTGGTGGGTCAGGAATCCGGCCCCGCCACCGAACCCAAGCACTGAAGCAGTTGCAATCCGCAAGCCTGTCGAAACACCTGGCTGCGGCTAGACAAAGTCCCGGCTCAGCGTGCTTGCATGGCTCGCCTCGGATGGTCTAGAAGACATGTTGAAAACTACTCGCCTCTCTCGCCTCCCTCCTCGCATGAAGCTGCAGGAAAGGCTCTTCTCTTTCCGCTCCTTTCGCCGCTGCTTCTCACCGGGTTGGCACAGGTGACAGAAGAGACATGTCCTGCCTGTGGCGCAACCTTTCTTGTGGAAGAACACACACGGCTTGCACTCCCCTGTGGCATGGCCTCCTGACCCAATGCTCGGGAGCATAGCAGAGCCCAGAATTACCGGCGCCGTCACAGCGGCCGTGGACGTAGGTATTGGTGGAATGGGCGCCTGCCATACCTGGGTCGGAGGCGGGAGCATGGAGGGCATGGCCACGACCTGCTCCTGCCCAGTGGTGCGGCTTTTCGGTACTGCATAATATGTCGTGCTGTGGGCAGCGGGGGCCGCTGGGGGCTGGTAGGGTGTTGCCTGGCTGGAGAGACGAGTCCGAGAAGCGTTTGGCTGCGACTCGTCTGTGGCACGATCCGAGTCTTTTGCAGTCTGTGAGGTGTGTGAGTTCGCACTGGGGCTCAGCTCTGGTGCGGGGACGACAGGCATCGGTTCTCCCAGCTTCTGATCCACGGAGCAAGGATTGAAAGCATCCGGATTCGAAAGGTCTGGGGAAGACTTCACGCGACGCACAGAGCCACACCACTCTTGAAGGGAGTAAGAATCGTGCTTCAACTCTAAGAAGGTGTTCCGAACCGCGAAATGGTTGAAGCTTGGCTCGTGGAATCGGCCAGATTCGTGAACTTCGGGCTTGGAGCTGATCGTATAGATCTTGTCGTCCTTCGGCTCTCCAACTGCGGCCATGCTGGCTCGATTCGATGGCACTGCTAGAGCTCTTTGCTCACATGGGCCAAAAAGGCTCTATGAACACAATCACCGTTTGCTTCTGCAACACGCTTCAGCCTGTCAGACTGAGAGCGTAGCACCCACTCACGGACAGATCCTGGACCATGCCCCTTCTAGAAACCAGAATGATGCGCATCTGCACACCGGGGAGCTTGGTGACCATGGCAAGGTGTGTGGCAGACTGGTCCAGATCAGATGTTGCCCAATCTTCCTCAGCGTAGCCCGAAGATGTAGCATGTCTGTACCAGAGTTGGATTCGCGACAGAGCGACAAAACGCAAACTCCTGTTTCGCCAGCCCGCGTGACGGCCCGTCCCAACCGTGCTTAGATCTTGCCAGTATCTTGCGATTTGCGCTTTGGCAACACAATCACTCTTGCGATGTGCGCTTGGGAAAGTTGTTTGTTGACCCCCGAAGTTGTTTTTGCACTTGCCCAAGAGATTTCGCTAGGTGGAACTATAGCATCGAGCATGAACTCATGAACATTCGTGTGCATCATATGCCTGCAAGTTCTGTCCGCATCGGAGCATCTGACACGCACTGCACGAAGTGGCAAAGCACAGGCACTGCTTCCTCCATTCCACCTTGGCTGGGTCAGTTTGAGGGCCTGCGCTGCCTCGCCCTTTCAATTAAAATGATCTTGAAGCAGCACCCACCTTCCCGACATTGGCGGGCCCTGCGATCTTCACCGGCCGGATCGCATCTGGCCTGCGGCTGGATTCTCGATTGAAGGACTGCATCAAGCAGCTGCACAACGCAAATTCCTGATGAGAGGAGATGCTTTCGCTACAGGCATGATACAAATAGCAGCCTGTGGATCGGCCTATCGGAGTCAAACGGGCATTAGGAGGCCAACATGCGCGGGTAACCAACCATGTGTGCCGCAGCAATGCAGTGATGCTGGAGTGATGCTGCAGCCACGCTGCTGACAATGTTTGGGGGCCACATTGCAAGCCGTGAATGACTGCAGGTTTACAGGTCAGACAAGTGCTGCTGGCATCAGTTGGATAGACGGCGACACAAAACGTTTAAGTCGCCAACGAAGTGAAACAACGGAGTCCAAGACCCGAAGGGTGTAAGCCGGGGCCGCGCTTGGATGGCCAAGTCCACACAATCTTCGTGGGATTCCGCAGGCCGCTTCAGGTAGGCCAAGCCTGCGATGGTCAGGGAATTTCCATGGCCCGCCACAGTATGCGGTTTGCCTTCAGCTTTAACTGCCGTAGCAGCGTAGCAGGTATACTTCTTCTTCAGACAAGGCACCTGTGAGAGCGAAGTGCAACAATCCTTTCCTTATCGCCAGGAGAGACCGGGAAAGGCACTTCCGGACAGATCGAACGCAGAAAGAACAGTCTCGGTCAAACGGTCAAACCATCACGCAGGCCGAATACAAAACCTAGACGACATGGGAAGAGCATCTAAGCGTGATGCAGCAGACAACACAACAAGGCAATGCTCCACCCATGCGACTTAGCAGCTCTTTCTCGTCGCGCACTGCCAACACTTTCTCATCACCACAGGCCTGATGATTGATGTCTAAGCTTTCAGAGCTGAACGCCCATGTGTTCAAGGAAGTTCGGCCGAGCCCGACCAGGAACTAGACGAACATGCCTGCAGCAGAACCGAGAAGGTTTCAGAGTTGCCGGTGAAAGCCAGCACCTCGGGTCAGCACGACGAAAAAGCAAAGTTCGGCATTGCCTTTTGCGCTGTTCGAATGAGCATTTCAGAACCCAGCATGGGTTTGCCTCGCCTTGCTACTCCGACAAAGGTTTACGACAGGCAAAGGCATGGCGGCGTGACCGTGGTTCATGGCTTCAACACGCCTCAACCATCTCAAGACACTGCAGCTCTTTGCTGACCGGCGACAATCAAGTCGTTGTCTTGCACCTCTGCACCCTTCTGCAGCAGGAAGGAGGAAGCCTCGCCACTGTCATCTCTCTGAGATCCCTGAACACTCCTTGCACAAGCCTCCTGCCTCCTTGCGAGCTCGGAGTGCAGCCCAAGTGAGGGCTGTCCACCCAAGTGGATTGCGCATCTCCAATGAAGCCTGCAAGTCTGAGGCTCACGTGGGCACACCAAGACTCAGAACATTCCCGAGCTCTGGATTTGTTGTCTTCGGACAGCGCCAGGTGAGACCAGCGACCCGCTTAGCACGAACACAGCCACCTTCGCCTCCAGCAGTACCTCGCAGGCCGCCGCTGACCCTCCTGCATATGCCAGACATGAACCGAAGCTGTCTGCTCCGTATGAGTCTGCAGCCACTGGAGCTCGGGCAACGAGTAGAGTAGAGGCAGCACTCACACTCCCATGATCTCCCTTGCCCTCTTTGGCCGGGGTACCGGAAGCCGCAAACATCAGGGGCGACACGCCGAGCTCGTCCGTCTGCTCTGCCAATGCCGGTCTGATGCGGAGGAGGCGACGCACTTCCTGCGACGAGCGAAAGCCGAAAGCCAGGGGCGGCGCTCAGACAACACGGCGCACGTGGTGCAGTGCGCAGTGGGCCCCGGGGCCCCCACCGCAAGGTCGCCCAGCTCGCAGGCCGCTGCGAAGGCGCTGCGCACCCGCGGCCCAGGACAGCCAGGGCCTGCAAGATATTGCTGTGACATTGCAGTGTCTTTTGCGGTGGATGCTAAGCTGACGCCTCGACGCCCATCTAGGCTTGCAGAAAGCTCCTCGTAGGCAGCCTGCTGAGCTCTCAGCGTTGCATGGCTTCCCTCCACCCTTGCACGCATCCATCCCGAGTCCTGGCCTGGATTGCTTGGAACACCTCCGTCGCTTCCCTGTCCTCCAGAGAACCTCCAGCTGCGACAGCGCGGTTCAAGCGTGAGACTCCTTTTTTTACAATGCCTTCACGGTCTGCTGCGTGTGGCGAGCGGCTCGCATTGACCTGGCAGCAGCCAGTGCAGGAGGGAGCGTTCACCCTGCTGCTTGGTGACAAGCACCTGTCGTTTTCCTTCGAAAGAATTGTCCCCAGCTTCTCTCTTGCAATTGGTCAGCCACTTCCTTCGCACGATTTGAGGCAACTGCCTTGTCTGGGTGGTAACGGAGGGCCAGCTGCAAGTACGCGCGACGAAGCTTTGCGGAATCTCGTCGCACATCTGCAGCAAAGAACTCCATGGCTGCTTCATTGACCCGCACGTGCTACTGCAGGCTCGCACGTACCTTTCGCTACTTTGGACTGGTTACAATATGCCAGCACACTGTCGGCCGTTGGCACGGCGATTGGATCGCCAAGTCGAGAGAAGTCTGCTGAAGCCCGTGGTTTGTTATCTTAGAGGCTTAATGGATCCGTGGCACTTCGAAAGCTTCCAAGGCCGCAACGCCTAGTGAACAACCGACGCTCACCACTGACGCGGTCATGCTGTCAAAGAGGGGGGGCTGTGCCTATGACAGGGCCTATGATGCTCCTGGCATCAGCATGCGAGATGGCCGAGGTTGAGGTCGGTTTAGGATGTGCAAAACCCTCGCTCTTTTCACGACAGCATCACACCTTCTCCGGCTTCGCACTTCTCGTCGTCAATTCTGCTCTCCTTCGCTACGGCACAGTTTTTACTTCAACGACACAGCTTCGCTCAGGATCGTTAGCGCGAAGGAGAGCCAAACAATGCCAGCTTCATTGAATCATAGCTGCGAGCGCGAACTGCAGAGAAGTGTTGTGAACACATTGCGCTACTTGCGCCACAAATCATTTGAGCAACTCATCGTAGCTGATCTAGCGGAGCCTGGTGGATAACTGCAACTCATTTACCAGCAGAGGGGCTGCAACGACATGAATTTCTAAACATGCTGGCTTGCAAGGGATCGCCCGCAAGCAAAACAACGAGCCCTGGTACCTTCTGCGGCTAGCTTCAAATTAGCTCAGGGCCTCAGGTGAAACTCGAGTCTTCAGATGCAGTCGCCTTGCGAAGGGAGCATCCAAAATGCAGCAGCAAGCAATTCCGCAACAGTTCAGCGCAAGACACGAAGCTTTAACGGAAGGGGTTAATGTAAGAGTTGCTTTAATAAACCTGGGTACAATAAAAATACTCCCTGGCCCAGACTTTCTCGGCGGAAGACTACTTTAAACTGCCGACCCAGATCTGGCCAAACAATTGATGTTGGGACCCTGGTGATATTAATAAACAGAGCGACAATTAAAAATATATTCCGAGCCAGAAACCCGCAAAATTTTGGAGCCTGACTCGAGGGAACACTTATTATTTTAGAGAAAAGGAAAGAGACCCAGACCCCAAAGCCAGGTGGCACAATGCAGTTCCTCAGACATCTCACTGAACTAGCAGCTCGCAGAGTGCTGTTCCAGAGACTTATTTAGAAAGCAAGAGCTAATGGGCATCAACCCAGAGGCTTTGGTCTTCGAAAGCTGCAAGCTTTGGCCTGCAGCCAGGGACTCTGGGATTCCAGGAACTGCAGCAGCTATTCCTGAGGCCTCTGCCTGATTCGAACCCCATTATAAACGGAGCGATTTCACAAAGCCGGCAAGGTTATCCCTCACGAGCCCTGCGGATCGCCAGAATAAATGGGTGACGATAAAGTACTCCCGTGGGGCGAAGGGTCCTGGAAACAAGGGTGTCAAAAATAAAGGTAGCAAGAGCTACTGGGCCTGAAGCCAGATTGGTATTCGAGAGCTGCAGGCTCTCGCATACTTCAGTCCAGTAATGACAGAAGGAGGACACAGAAAGCCCGAGGAGGCGCCAGCACAAAGCCAGAGTGCTGCGAATCTCAAGAGGTTAGACTTTATTACTATTGCTACTATTACTACTGTTACTGCAGTACTACTCGTACTACTAGTACTACTAGTACTACTATTACTACTACAACTCTTACTACTCTTACTACTCTTACTCCTCCTCCTCCTCCTACTACTACTACTACTACTACTACTACTACTCTTACTGCTACTACTACTACTACTATTATTATTACTACAGACCCCGGACCCGGGCAGAGGTTTATCATTCCCACCCGCTCAACCCAACGACCACCCGACCCTCGACAAAACAACCTCAGGGCGGGGGGGGTGCTTATTGGTGCAACTCTTACATTAAGGTTTTTCGGCATGAGAAGGCTATGCCACGATTCCTCTTGGCACATGAGAGTTCGTGAGAGTTCCAGGTTCGAGCGGAACATCCCGAGCCTTCGGCGACACCAGTGTTGAAACATCGACAAGGCGAGGATTCCTGTGTTCGCAGCTTGGCAGCAACCAATCCATCTTTGAGACGCATAAATGCCACAAAGCATTCCAAAGTCTCTTCAGCACTCAACGGAACAATCTCCACCCCGACCCCAACCACAAGTTAACATACCTCTTTAGGACAAACCCGGCGCAGCAAGATTCCTGCATCGCTTTCTTGCTACATCTGCAACAACATGTCACACGTCCTCGTGCCGATCTGGATCACATTACCTCTGGGCAAGCAACCAAGTGTCTGAAACTCTACCAAGTGTCTGCACTCTACATACGAAAGCTCGCGGCGGCATGCCATGTCCGCCCACAGCACACACACACACACACACGCATACACAATTTACACACAAACACACACGAACCTGGCTTCGTGTTCATGCTACTGCAAACACGTTACCGTGGATATCGCTTGTGCATCCTTCGTGTTCGGCTTCCTGCCTCTTTCATGTATCAGTGCGCTCTCTTGCTGATTGCCCCACCCAACCACAAGCAGCAACTACATCGATCCTACACCCCCACTCCCTTTCTTTCGGAGGACATAGGTAGAAAGCAATCATTCCCGGACAGGCGAGGCGCGCACCATGCCGATGTAGAAAAGACAAGGTTTACGTACAAGAGTTCAGGACTTGTAAAGGTACTGACCCCAAGCTGTGGTGGCATGGCGATGGACCATCATCAGTAGAGCGTCACCAGGACCGTTTCTAGTATGCGGCCAACTACGCACATCTTACTGCACTCATCTATTGTAACGGTGAAGCAAGCAAGTAGGTCCTTGCTGCACGCCACGCCAAGTAAAGAAGCCGAAATTGGTTGAAATTTTGTGAACCCAGGCTCGGATCCTGCATAATCCATAAGATGGCTGAAATATAGCTTTGCATGCGAAGGCGCCGTCCTCAAGCAACGACCCCAGCCCCGAAAGCCTCATGGATCTCGTGCGAGGGATATCCCTGCTGATCATCTGGTCACCGCGTCGGATGAAAAGCCTTGGGCGTTGCCGTAGAACACAACTGGACGCAGCACCGCCCCTGTGCTCCCCTGAAGTTCCCAAGGCACGAGCGTGACGGGTGTCGTTCCGGCGACAATCTTCTCCATACTGTCGGGGTCGCCTGTTTCAGAATCGTACTACTTACTGCGGATTTGGGAGCCTAAACGGCACAGTGAAGCCTTGTGTCTGATTGGCTTTCCGGATAAACCTCGGCATGCTTTAACATGCTGCAACACTGCTTTATTAGAGAAGGCCTCTAGCACAGGCCGGGTGATGCGACGCTCGTCACAGAGACTATCAGAAAATCCCCTGACGTCGCGGCATCCCAGGCAGCACGACCAAGTGAAAGCGGCCCATCCTGCACTTTACGCGTCAGTTGCTAAGGCACGGCTTCCGTATTTTTTTTGGACCTAGTCTCAGTGTAGACGGAACGTAGCGTCCGCGGCTGCCTGATCTGCGCCAGGTTGAACTGCTCTAGGGCACCGTCGCTTGCCACCTTCAAAAGTAGCTCGGCTGGACGCGTCAGCCATGTTCTCCGGGGCTTCAATCGATCACCCCAGACTTCGTGGCAAGGTGTGCCAACAATACAACAAACTGGCCTCGGTGACTTTCAGCTCCGGCGCAAAGTCGCTCGGTGGCCTGCCACCGGTTGAGAAGTCAAGTAGCTTGCTTGCCAGGGTGAACCCCTGCTTGGAAGGCAGCCCGTATGACATTTTACTCATGCTCCCAGCGGGGCCTCTCCACGCGAACTCCGATGGGCACTGGTCCCTGCGTGTCGCCCCGCAGCCTGAACTTCATTCAGCACACTGTCATCTCGCTGCTGCATCGCATGCGAGCGGTGTGAATCTTCCATCCGACCACGGCACTTCTTGCTTGCAGCACAGAGTTTTCATTGGAAGGTCAATCTAGAAACTGAATTTCAGCACAGTGCTGTCTAATGTAATCACGAAGCTTCCGGCCATGTCGTGTAGAATTCTGCTCTCCCAGTTCGTGTGCACGCAACTGTCCGAGCACATCTGTGTCTTGAGCATGACGATAGATTAGGGGTGAGCCTGCTACAGATACAACGGAACGAGGCCCAGGCTCCACTGCGAACATCTGCGGGTAGCGAACAATCCTGGCCAATAGCTCAACGAAGGCAAACAATAATGAACCGATCAGTCTTCGAACACCCACACTACGCAGCTGCGAGACTCATACGAGTTCGCTGAGGCACAGACTTCAGGACGATCATCGCGCTTTTGCGGAGCTCTTGCTGCATGTCCTCGCGTCCCGCTCATTAGAGATGTTTTCCTCTACATCGCTATGCATGGTACGCCAGCACAAGGGATGCACACAATCACCTTCGCTCGCAATGGAGGCCGACATGCAGAGGCTTGTGCAAACTGAACTTCACACTTTCAATTTACATGTTCTGGCAGGCTCATCCTCAACCCGAGTCTTGCCGTTGACAGCATACACGCGGTCAAAGGAAACAACCTGGTTTCACCGGAGTGTACAGTCAACTTCGGCTGAAGAGTGAACCAGCAGTCACATCACAAACACGCATCTGACAGCCAGCCAGGCCGCCTCACTGCCGGGATGTGCTCGGTTCCATGCAGCAAGGAGGCCAGCGGGTGCCTGAAAGGACCCGCTGCTGTAGTCACAGGAGTGTAATACCCTGAAGCGGGCCCTGCAAGCTCCCGCATCTTCCGCATCTGTGTAGGACTTTGTGTGTAGAAGAGACTTGCACTCAGAATGCAGGGCCCAATGGACTGGAGACAGATTCGTAAGTGAGGACAGCGATCCCTCCATCGCTGGGACACAGGACTCAAGTCTAAAGTAAGTCTATGGTCGGTTCCTCGACAAGCCCGGAAAGATGGAAACCTCGAGACTGCTAAACACCCTGACACCAGCTCACCACTGAGATCTGCACAATCTCGCGGACCACTAGTACCTGGAAACGCTCCGCCAAAAGAAGAGCTTTGGGATGAAACAGTGCGCAGCCAGGCTCATTCCCAGTGCAAATGCAGAAGCACAGGCTGGTCGGGCACTCTGGGCGCTTTGTGGAAGCGACCGCTGCTGTCCATGGCCTCATTCTGGCTGAAAGCTGAAAATACCACCTTCAACATGGCCTTCCTTTCCCGTTCCGCCTTAGATGAAAGTTCGGTCCCCGGCCCCGCGGCCGGGTGTCGCTGAAGGGGTGGCCAGTGGCGTCTCCTGAGAGAAGGCTGGACTGACGTGCTGTTCACGTAGCTGGGAAAAGCTAAGCTGTCGAACCGCCTGCCCCGCCCGCCCATCTCGAGTCAGCTGCATAGGCGCGTTTAGCTGCTTCAATACCGTTCCCCTCTTATGCGCTTTTAGGCCTTCAGGTACTTTGGCACTACGAGGCGGTCGTGGCAGCGTCAAGCTCACGAGCGCTAGCCTGAGAAAACGGAGGCCTCCGCTTCAGAGAGCTGGCCGCGCGCGCGCCTGGACGAAAAAGAACTCTGCTCCAACCGGGCCCCGAACCCCCAAACTTGTGGTGTTTGAGGGGTTTTGACCGGTGCCAATCCTAAAGTACGTCCTGTTAAAGAGACCGACCTCGCCCAAACTGCGGTGTTGCCCAAGACGGCTCCGTCTCGCAACTCGGAAGACTGGGGCAGAAGCAGAAAGTCACCATAACCGCTGAAGTGCGCAAAGCCAAAGCCTTGGCCCACACGTTCTCATGATGATGTCAATCCATGTTCAGAACAAGTAGAACGATGTCAAATCTTCGGAATTACGTGCCTCACATTTGGATCTAGCAAGCTATACAGTAGCATGCTGTTCCTGCATGTGCACAAATGGCCCCTGGCCGGGGCATCACGGAACTGGACTAACTTAGCTGGAGGCGACGTATCGAAATGACGGGACAGAAAGCTTGCATGCATGAATGCACACGAGAGATGGCATGTCGGATGGAGGGTGTAGATCTCGACAGCGCAGCTGTGTTTCGCTCCATTCAGACATTGGCCCCTTTGGGGTAACACCAGGACAGGCCGTCTTAGCTCATCCCGAATGCATCACCTCTCAAGAGCTACTACTGTGCACACTGGCATATGATGGCAAATCATTCGCCAGGAGATCCGCTGCCGCCGCCACGTGCACTGCCACGTGCGCTGCCTCGCTCGCGTGGGGAGGCCTCGCCGGGCGACCCACGTGCCGAGGTTGGTCCGCCCCGCGCCGAAGGCGGAGCTCCGCGAGCGGAACGCGCTGACGGCGCACCGCGCGCGCTCGTGGGGGAAGCGTCTCGGCCCCAGTACTTCTGACGCTTCTCGCTGTTAATTGTTTTCTTAGGATCCATGTACGTGTCCGTCGGTGGCCCCTCAAGGGCGGTAAGTGGCTCTGAAGGATCATTTGTCTCGGCCTGCTTCGAATCTTTTCGTGCACTTCCAGATCCTTGCGCGACCTCTCGCCCTGCGGCTCCGGGCCTCTTTGGCCCTGTGTCGCGAGGCGTGGGTGGCAGCGTTTCCTCTTCGTTAGCTGCTCGCTCCCCATGGTATTCGTACTTTTTGGGATCTTCCATCATCTCCAACACATTTCCCAGCTGCGCATGCAGTTCCACTTCCAGCTCGTGACGGATTATGTCTGACTGCCAATCCAAGTAGTGGGTGGAAGGCCTTCTCGCCAGGGGTGCAGTTGCTGCCGAGAAGTCTGTGAACTCCATCTGTGATGGCAGATAAAATGGAAGCGCCAAAGGCTTCAGGAAATGACCCTCCAAGTCCTCACCGTCGTAAGAGACCAGGGGCGAGATTTCACACTTCAGGTCCTCCGTTTCCCCGGCCACCTTTTTATCTACAAACTCTCCTCCTGCACGAATGATCCACTGCTGGTGGAGCTGCCCCACTGCCTGTGGAAGCATCAGGATATCACAAAATGTCTTTGCAACGGAGCATGAGGCAGCAAGAACTGTTGTGCCTGCACTGCCGTCTGCGGCGAGCTGGGCCCCGAGACGTTCTTGACCAGTGCATATTCTGTCCGTGGAACCTGGACACCGCCGTGGTCTGGACAGTAGACGCGTTCAGCTGATCCAATACCCCCATCCCTCCTGCCTGCAGGCCCACCACACTTTTGCAGAGCTGGAATGCATCAAAGATGAACATCTCCATCCTCCTGGCGTTCCGGTCCTGCTTTGGAGGCTCCACCTTGTGTCCAAGCTTCAAGTCCATGTAGGGGATGGCCTTGCAAAGACACTCCCTCACAGCAATCATGAGACTTCTCTCTGCAAGCTCATCTGAGGGCCTTTGGGATGAGGTGCCACTTCTTCCAGTGCAGCTGCGCCACCTCCCAAATTCAGGGTGGGAAGCACCCCCTGGTACACCTGTGACCTTCGACTAGGATTTGGGGCACCTGCCTTCTTGACGAAATCAATCTTGAAGAAGTACTGGGACAAGTTGCCGGCACTTAGTTCCAGTGGCATTCCACCAGATCCTGCCTTGGCGACGTGGGCATCGTCTCCCATGGGCCACATTCACTCCGTGAAAAAGCTGCGGCTGTGCCGCCAAAGCTCTTCACACGTTCTGAAACCCTTACAGGCTGGCTGAGCTGACCTACCTAGTCCTTTCCAAGCCGCCTGCTTGCGCCGCTTCTTCAAGTCCTCATTGGGCAGAGAAATATATTAAGGAGCTTCCTGGAGGTCGCTGACTCCGTGACTGGCCTCGGGAATCTCGAAGAACTCCAAAACAGAGGCCTTCACCTTGGAAACAGAGTCGAGCTTGCCATCTCCATCCACGTCTTCGAAGACGTCCCGGTAGAGCTGAGAACAGAAGATGCCATACTGCTCCTGCACAGGGTCTTTCTCGATCTAATTGACACATGGACTGGGTCCGCAAGGGGCCATGGCACCTCTGGAAGCACCTTCTCCATGGTCTTGAGGCCTGCATCGGCCTCTCAAGCTCTGGTTTCCAATGCCCCGTCACATCTGCACGAGTCTTAGGAGGGCCGGCACCTTGCAGGTATCGCAGAAGCCGATGAAAACAGGATCTCCGACCTTCGCCAGGACGTTGTCGATGCTGCAGACCTGTCTCAGGAGCGCCTGCCTGGCCAACCTGCCTACAAGTTGGAAAGACGCGCTCTGCAGTCCGAGGAGCGTAAATGCTAGTTACACCCCTGCTCTTCATGTCGGACACCATGCCCTCCTCCACCAAGGCTTTAAAAATGCCGCCGTTGCCATTCGGATTAACCGCGATCTTGTGCTTTTCTTCGAGCAGGTATTTCCCGCGTTTGTCGCAGATTGGATAGTCGCCCTGCGTGAAAAACAAGACATCCTGCTCTCTGATACCGAAGAACTCGTTCTCACGGAAGAAGTCTTCGATGATCTCTTTGTTATCACGGTTGCACATTATGTACACAGGAATGTAAACGGCTTTTTTGAATTTCCGTTGGACCAGGTGCTGCAGCCTTCTTATTCTCTCGATGTAAAGCTGGAAGATTGACTTGTGAGACAAGAGCCCCACATCCAAAGCACCCTTCGGAATCTGCCCACCAATGCGAGAGTCTTTCCCGCCGGACATGATCACGATGGCTACCCTGTCCTTAGTCGCTGGATAGCAGCGGAGTTGCAGTGCCATCCGGTCTGTCATGCCCTAAGGAACGTCCGGTTATGAAAACGTTAAGAGTGAGGCCATCTGTCCGAGAAACACGAGAATACATCTCAAGGCCTAGCGTTTGCCAGGCGGTCCATTTGCGCTCACTGACGTCTGTAAGCTTGGTGATGTTGGCCTCGGCCCGCTGGCTACACAGAGCAACTGAAAGCAGCTGGCCAACCGAAGCCTTCTATGGCCCACTTGAAAAAACTTTCGGATCCTCCCCGTTGCCGTCGTCGTCATCGTCGGTGTTGCTCGTGGTGGGGTGGGGGTGGCGGGTGGCGGTAAGAAGCTAGGATGCAGTCCAGGCGGCACCAGGCTGCAGCTTTGGCGGTCTCTTAAGATCCTAGTCTCGACTCGAACCGACTCACCCGCATTTGCATTGCAGCAGCTGCAGAGCGAACTATGTGCCGTCGAGCTGCCCAGTTCATCAGGCATGGGGGCACGGTTTGGATGCCCTGCTCTGCAAAGCTGGTCTCATCTGCTCCGTGCACCCAAGCGTTCTCAAACTCCTCGGAGGGAGGAAGGCAGGAAGGAAGCAAGGAAGAGAGGGAGGAAGGAGGAAGGAAGGAGCGAGGGAGGGAGGGAGGCAGGCAGGCAGGGTATTCAAGAACGATGCCTAGAGCCTTGGGTGTTTTTGGCACTTGAGCCCGAAATGAGGAGAAAAGTAATGGAGGCTCGATAGGATTCCTGAAAATGGTGTCGAAACATAAATGCACACCATTGCACACCCGTCACAGTGATGAGGCCTATGGATGAAAGGGGTGCAGAGACGAAATTCAGACGATCAAAGCGGACGAACGTCTTAAGCCCGGCCGCTCAGTAGGTGATGGCAGTTGCCCAGCTTCTGCAACCAATCCCGTATTCGGCGATGGCAGCTAATCACAACTCCAAAACTGGCGCCCTCATTTCATGCCTATTGGACTTAGTCACATAGTCCTTAAGCCCACGTCTTCATTCAGCGATGGCGGTTGGTCACATGATCACATTTGTGCGATGCGCTGCCTCACCAGGCGATGTCGGTTGATCACATTTCTTAAGCCCGCCCCCTCGTTCGGCAATGACGGTTAATCACATGTTTACAGCGCCCTCCTTAAAGTGATAGTGCCTAATCACATTTCCTGGACCCGCCGCCTCCGCGATGGCGCTTTCTCATATTCCTGAAATCGAACGATCACAGTTCTTACACCGGGCCCCGCATTAGGCGATGGCAATTGATCACATTGCTTACACCCACCTCCTCGTTCATTGGCGCATGGCAGCTGATCTTTCTTAAACCGGCCCCTCTGTTAAGGCGATGGCAGTGGATCATAGCTCTTAAACCCAGCCCTTCAGTAAGCGTCGGCGGTTTGTCAAAGTTCTTCAACCCTCCCACCACCATTGCACGATGGTCATGTTTGTTGCAGTGGCCCCTTCGTCAGACGACGGTGGATGATTGATTACATGTCTTAAGCTCGCCCACTCATTAGGCGAGGCGATGTTGGTTGATCACATTTGTTGAGCACGCCCCCTCATTAGGCGATGGCAGCTGATCATATTTCTTCCACCGGCCCCCTCATTAAGGCGATAGCAGCTCATCACATGTCTTCCACCGGCCCCCTCATTACGGCGATGGCTGTTGATCGCCTCTCTTAGTCTTACACCATGACATGGACCGCATCATTTCCCGAAAACCGCTGCCCCCCAGTCATGGTGGTGGATCACATCAAGTCTTAAACCTGCCCCCTTATTAGGCGACAGCGGTTGAGCACATGTCATAAACCGTAGAGGCGATTATCTGCATTTGTTCATCTGGCCCCGGATTACAGCGATGCCAATTGAACATACTTATTGATACCCGCCTCCTCATTTAGCGATGGCAGTTGATCGCACATGACAGTTGACCATATTTCTTAAACCCCGCCCCCGTATTGGGCGATGGCAGTTGATGGCATGTCTTGAATGCGCCCCCTCGGACTGGTCACATTTGTTCAACCCGCCCCCTCATAGGGGATGATAGTTGGCCCAAATTCTTGTTCATCCGCCCCCTCCTTCGGCAATGGTGGTTGGTCATACTTCTTACACCCACCCCTTCATGAGTCGGTGGCTGCATCTCAAGAGAGGCTTGGGCCAACCTATGGGTGGGGCCTATGCATAGATACCTCTCGAATTTCCTAGACCCCTGCCGATACGGAGGGGTCTTTGGCCCAGGGACCGAGAGGTGAAGGTAGGGGGAGGGAGCAAGAGGGAGCGAGAGCGACAAAGAAGGAGAGGCAGAGAGGGAGAGAGGGAGGCTTCCCCCTACCTGTAGAATCCTGTAGATTCTTTATGTCCGATATTCTCTCAGATGCCTGCACTCAAAAACTCCAGGGCTGTCCCCACTGAAATTCTGTCCTGAGCATTGATTCGGTCAAACTGGTCGTCCAGGTCCCGCTGCTCCTCCGGAGACAACTCGTCATAGAAGGAGAAGACATGGTCCTGTCCGGCCTGCCACGGAACGCAGCTTCTAGCTTCATGTGCGGATGCATCATGGGATACCAACCGGGCCTGCTCCTCGTCAGCCTCATCGTCGTCATCCTCCAACCCTTCTGCACTGCATGCTTTGATGATCTCTGTGCAGGCACTGTCGAAGGGCCGTGGCAGGAACGAGAACATGTCCACGTGTGTGGTGGGCTACATGGCGCAGCATGCTGCATGGCAAGCTGAATCTCAAGCTTTGTCTGCGGATTGCTGCAAAGTATATAAGATGGAGCGCATATCTTCTGAAAGCTGACTCCTGTTTATGCGGCAAGATTCAACAAGGCATCTGCATAAAAATGCGCTAAATAAGATTCATGAAGCGTAAGCAGACTCGGAAAGAAGGGGCTACAGAACTGGCCCTAGAAGCACGCGCCACTACGAAGGTCAAGAACGACAGATTCCGTAGTTTAGGCTCAGGGCCAAACTCTTGAGCTGAGGCTGGGCGGCTTGCGATCGTCCGGACCTGATTTCTGAAGCTTCACCTGCAGGTTGGGGGCAGAGGCTAAGAAGTCATGGGAATCGACCAAGCCCATCACCTCCCAAAGCAAGCAGCCGTCCGGCGTCATGAGACCTGCCGAAAACGCGAGGAGCGGAGATCGGGCGGGCGCCCTCAAACCCAAGCCTGGCCCTTGCGCACGCATTCCGGCCATGGCCTGGCACTCGGGAATGGCTCTTCCACGCAAGTCACATGTCTACTTCTACACATGTCTACTTCTGATTTTAGGCATCTCCAGGCATCCCCAGGCTGCCCCAGGGCTCCGGCCATGGACTGCGGACCACGCCGGCCCGGCAGCGTGGCAGCCTTGTCACTCGCTACGCGCGCAAACAGCCGCTAGCAGCCGTTAGCAGCCGCTAGCGGCGAGCACACCGCGTGGACCACTGAGCAAGGAACACCAGCATTGGCGAGCAATGGCGAGGAGGCTGAGGAACTCAGAGGCGGATAGCCACCTGGCCCCATCGTACCTGGGCATGCTTCTGCTCTGAGGAACAGCCGCATGTTTACCACGACCAGGATAAGAGTCCAGCGCGAGCCCGGGGGCGCAAGCCCAGGTCTGAAATGCAGTGAGCTCATCGTCATGTCGGGTGGCCTTGGAGGTTCAAAAATTGAGGAAGCAAAGATCGCTTTTACACTCGATCGCGCCTCTGGGTGCCATTGTTCGGGCCCAGCGTCTTTGAAGGACCTAGCCGTAGAAGCTAATTCATTTGGAGTTTGGGACAGGAAGTCCAGCTCTTCGAGGCCCTCGGAGCGTACCTCTTAAGCTGAACGTCGGTGCCGAGACATGCATGCTAAGTTGACAACTTCCAGTGACACTTGCATCAGAAGCAGTTATCGCCAGTCCCTCAACATGCGCCTTCCACTACAGTCGCTTGCACTGCATCCTCTTCCACTATCAACCACCGCACTATCACCAGAGAAGCGGGAGAGGGCTCGGAGAGGGCCTAGACCGAGTTGTGAACTCGACGCACCAGCCTCAGACTCGCGGCGAAGAAGAGCGGATTTCTTCTCGCAAGGCATCTGCCAAGTTCTGCCGCGACACGGCCGGCCCCAGCCCCGACAGGTAGGGGGCGCCCATCGGCGAAGCTGCCTCATCATGCAAGTGGACATTGACATTGTATGGCATACATGAACGGGGCAGTGTTACAGCAGCGCTTGTACAACATATCAGTACAAGCGGAAATTGACGTTTGTCTGTACCTGGTTATTTTCTCTCCTCATTCATGCATTGATCCATGGGTTGTCTACTTCGCTGCACGTTCATGCTCATGCACGCATACGGTAAACACATGTTCCGCGTATGTGTCTTGTCTTCCTACACTGCTAGTACGAGAGCCTGCTCCGTTGCATTACTCTGCTCTGCTGCCGACTCCGCTCAGCTCGCGGCCCCCAAAGAATTCTGCGAACTCGGGATGTCTAGTCGGACCTGGCACCAAGAAGCGTCTCAGTCTTTCTTCGCACTATACTCATGGTGGCTTAGTGTGTGCATATGTTTTGCGTATCTACAATCTACTCTAGGCTATACATGTTTTTCTGCATTCATTCACCATCATTCACCAACCTATTCATTATCCATGTTATGTATAGTTGCAGCCTGAAATCTTTACAAATGCACGGCCGCGCCTCTTTTCTTGGCTGTGTCGCCGTGGGTGGCATGACAGAAGGTTGCGAGTTGCCTGTTTCACGACACGGCGTGCGCAGGGTCTAGCCACAATGCTGTCACAAGCTTACATGCCTAATTCAAGATGTGAAGGAGTTGTCCAAACATCCGATGGTCTGATATGCCAATGTCCAGTATGTGAGACTTTGGTCCCAAGCGGCAGGACTTGACAAAGGATGCTACGCCGCTATGCCTGCTACGCACACGGCCATAATCCAAAACAGCACAAACCTGTCAGCCATCTGCTCATGCTCAGGAGGGCAGATTCTAACCGAGGCCGCTGCCAAAGCCCGACAGATTCGGCTGACTGGCCTGTTCCTGAAACACTTGAAACTCGGAATGCCCATGCCAACCCCGGACCACACTTCCAAGTCTCCACTCTTCGACTAAACCCGTAATGATCGGAGGCCACACAGCAGTCCTCCACGGCGATTTCCAGCATTTCGCCTGGTTTCATGTCATCGGGCACCACGACATCGTACTTCTTCCCGCCCTTCCTCATCATTGCGGGGGGGCACAGGAGAGAGAGCTCAGGAGAAAGCTACTTCTTCACCAAGTCACTCCACCCTCAGAGAGTCCCCTGGCTGGAAATCTTCCGGCACGACGACTTTCAACTTATCCTGCCAATCTCGGCTTCAAGAGCTTGTCGGCCAGGCCCATTAAATATCAGCTTTCGCCTGCTGAGCTTCGTGGGTGAGGCGGACACGCATGGGGTCTCCAGGGCGGGCACCCTCTGGGACGGCCTAAGCTGGCCAGACTGGCACAAACTAACCGTACGGACAACACCTGAGCCTTTATCTACTGAATGCGCGGCCGCGAGTGGAAGGTATGAAAGCTGAGGTGCCAGCAAGCTCGTATTCCTCACCCTCCCAGAGAATGTGGAACACGTCCCCAGCCTCTCGTCTAAACTGCTCAAGTTGCGACCGAGGGCTGGGAGTAAGCCTAAGCCTAAGCGTAAGTTCGACGAGGGCCTTGGGTCAGCCCTTCAGGTGGGCTGACTAACCGACGCCACAGGTTCCACACGGCTGAAGCGACGGACTTAGCCATAGCAGCCTGCTGGACAGTGCCGTTTAGCTACAGTGTTGGTCGCCTTCAAACCCTCGGGCACGTCGACTTCGACCTCTTCCCCCTCGTTGGCTTGCACCTGGTTGGCTCATGCTGACGATTCCGAGAAGCCGTGTCCTTGTCCACGGCCTCAATCGGAGCCTTGGCCATCATGGCCAATGCCAACGCCTGCCCATGTGTGTTCAAAGCACTCCACCGCGGCAGATCTAGCGGAACTTGAGGCTTCGGACGGCGAGCTGAAGGAGCAGGCCTCGTTGAAAGCTTGCTTTGCGTCGTCTTTCTCCTTGCCCATGCGAATCCCACGCTTTTGCCGTCCGGCACTTCTGCATGTCGCTAACAATCCCAGCCTTCGCGTCTGCCTGCGACTCAACCAGCGCGCTGCGAACCAAGGCCTTCAGAACAAGCTCGCAGACATTTGGCTGAGGCAGGTGTACCGCATCGCATGGGCAAGCACCGTAAGCGCAGCTACGCCCGACCTCATGCAAGGCCTGCTTCGCCTCCTCACGCTCACGGACGCGGTGCAGCAGACATGGCGCATCGGAGCTGTCGCTTAGGGTGACAGCCGACGATCCTGCTCCTGGGCTTTGGCCGAAGCTGCTGCGGCCTGGCTGCAAGGCCCAGGAAGCAGCGTTGGCCCCACTTTGCTTTGCAGAGCAACAGCGAACGGGAGCGCTCTTCGGGCGCCAGCCGCGCCTCTTCGGCTCTCTGGGCCTGGAGGCTCCGCAAGCGTCGTTCCTCCTCGGCCCAAGCCTGCGATTTTTTGGAGACAAAACCCCCCATAAAATCTCTTCAAGTCTTAGAGGGAACGAATTGGCTCGCTTTGTGGACCTGCTCCAGGGCCGCCTGCTTCCGCTGCGCCTCTTCCGCCAAGGCCTGCGACCAAGCCGGGCCCAAGCCAGGCACGGGTCATCGAGTCTTTGAGAGCTGTGCAGCACCGTCCTGCTCTATTTGGGCTCGCCGCTGTGCTGCCTTTTCTGCGAGCTCCTGGGTCTCAATATGTCTCAATCCATGCATGCACCTGTCCGATCCCTAGCCCACGAACATCGAAAGAGGCAGTGAGCCTTCTCCATTTGCGCTTGCCGTTTCATCATCTCTTCTTGCAGCGCCTGCAAAGCTGGGAGGCTCTGCACCTCTGAAATCCGACTCTGCTGGGACCTTCTCCAGGGCCGCTTGTCGCTTGTTCATCTCCACTGCCAGCACCTTTTAAATACCAAACTCCACATCTTCTTCGGTCGCAAAGCGATGGTAGGTGCAAGATAGGGTTCGTTCGGCCTTGGCAGCGTCTGCTTCGCGTTCGGCTTCATCGCTGTCAACCTGTGCCTGCAGTTCAGCAGCCTAGGCTGCTTCTATGTGATGGGCGAGCGTGCCTGCTCTGCACCGGCTTGGAGTCTTTGAGTTTCTTGCTGGGCCACCTTGGCAAAAGTTTGTCAATGCAAGGCGACTGTGGGGTGTGTGTTCGCACCGTACATTTCCCAGCAGCCTCAGCAGCAGCATCCACGAGGTTGTTCGTCACCTGCGACTGCAAAGCCGAGCGGAATAGAACTCGTAACTCCCAGCTGCTCAGGAGCGCTGAACGCACTTCGCTCTCACTCTCTCAACATGAAACGTCCAGCCTCTGCTGCAGCTTCACCTGGCTGTCCTTCACCCTGCCAGGGAAATCAGCAAAAATCTCAGGCTTTGTACGAGCAGTACGGAGGGGGGTGGCATCCCCTCAAGATTCACCTCTGTCAGCGTGAGACTGGCCACGGATGTGGCATGCCCTGGAGAAAGTGGGTTGATGTTCGGCACCTGCAACTGGACAAGCTCAGACTGGCAAGCATCGACACTAAGCCAGAGAACTCTGCTGGACAAAGATGAAGCGCCTGCGGCGTAGTCGGCATGGAGACGTCTGAGGTCATGGAGATCATGGACCTGGGCAGACCATGTGATCAATGCCCCAAAAGCAGGCTTGCAGTCTGAAATCCGCCGCCATCGCTGAATCACGACCACCACCCAGACTCCGCGAACTAATTGCTCCCCTCCTGCCACCTGCCTCCTCCTGCTCATCCTCCTCAGCCTCCCCGCCACCTCTTCCTCCTCCTCCGTCTCCTCCTCCTCCTCCTGTTACTATTGCGGCTACTGCTGGACTGGAGAGGAACTGCCAAAACTTTTCACATCATCCGTCTAAGCACTGTTTTCTAGAGTCACTTGCAATAAACGTTGAACAACACGGTCGCTGGTGTGGAGGCCATGGCGCTGGGGGACAGCGTCGGCCAAGCATTTGGAGTGCCGAGCTACATCGACAAATGTAGTTTTTTTCTAGCTGGCCAAGGGAAGAGAAGGCGCCTTAAGAAAAAAACTGCAAGTCGCAAATGTCTGGTCCAAACGGCTTGGCGAGCATACTTTACTCGACAAGAATCACCTCGGCACTCATGCCAGCATGTGTTGTGCATGTTACGTGCGCGTACCAAAGGTGGAACCTTAGGGCTTAAAGGCGTGGCTGCTGTTCTGAAGTGTTGCAAATGCTATTGCTGCAGCTATCCCACTTCTTACGGCCCGGCTGTCTCACCCTTGAGTTCAATCGACCCCGAGCCATGCAGCCCAAACCCGGAACTGACTGCTGCGGCGGCGTCAGCATGTATACGATACAATTCGGATACAAATGCAACGAACACATTTGCAGCCCTCCATTGACAGTTGAAATCTTAGTTTCCAAACTGAAGCCGTGACGCCTGCGTTCCTGGTTATGCATCTTCCGGGACCCCAGCATACCGGTGCGCGCGAAGGGATCATCGTAGTCCAAGTTGTCTCAGCAAGTGCCAAACTCTTCTGCACGCAGGTGAAGCGTCGACATGAACTGCAAAGTACGGGTGTACTCATTCCGGTGCCGAAACAGGCTCGAAACAGGCTAGATCGAGAGCAAAGCAAAGCCTCTCGCGCCCTCAAGCAATCCTGGACTTGCTTCATGGTCTCTCCAACAGCAGCTCCGTTTTGGGCACTGGCGCATGATCTCCGACATCATGGGGCTTACCTCATGAGAATTGAGACTTAGTGTTACATGGTGAATCATCGCGTTGAGGCCTAGAGGACCATGTACCTCGAGGCTGCATCAACACAGCATCGTTCCCTCCAGTCCTTCGCAAATTGCTTCACATCATCACATCTGCTTACACAACCGTGCTGCCGGCAAAACTTGAAGCAGCCTTTATAGCTGAAGGGCACTGTTTTTTCCAATTGCATTTCAGCTCTGACTTGGTCCAACCCAGACCATTGGCCCAGCAACTCGCTCCCAACTTAGGATAACACCACATCTCGCTCCGCATTTGCCACAGACACCTCCTTGGCACTACGGCGGCGTTCGTGCACGAAGTAACAGCAATTTCTCTTTCAGTTGGCGTCGTGCTTTGCTTGACCGTATCTGTGAGCAGATCACAACGACCGCAGCTTTGTGCCACAAGTCCGAGGGCTCTACGTTGTTGAACCTGCAACACAGGCCCAAACGCAATGTCAAGCAGCAGGACGCTTGACCAGACCCAGCTACAATCACCATAGACTTCTGTTGTCAACGTGCTGCTTCTGGGAGGTTGGTTGCATGCTGACCACCGCAGGCCTGCTTCTCGAGTGCTATGCTTGGCGGGCTAAAGGCTTCTCAGGTCAATGCAAGATCGGATGCAACCAGACGGAGCCATGAAATTATGCAGCAGAAGCACGATCGAAGAAACTGGCACCTCTAGAATCTAGAAGCCCTCTCAGTACCTTGGGGAGCAGCAGTCTTTGTCCAAGAGACTGCCATACAACAAGCCCCGCACCACCAGCACCCACGCGGTGTCCGACCCACAGATCCGTTCAGTGTTCGAGCCATCAAACGAGAAGTGCATGCTGACAATCTGCTTCAACATCATCAAAAAAACCCTTTGCATGAGGCCAAGGGCAAGGAAGGTCGAAACCGAAACCCAAGCGCCAAGTAAGTGCAATCTGTGCGCCCCGTGTCCGAGAGAGCCTGACTGCCGATCTCATAGCTCCCGGTGGCATGGTCGCCGCGAAATCCACCGAACTCAGCAAAGAGTCGCTGATTGGCTCGAACTCAGGCGTTCAAGCTATCACAATCACAATTCACACAAGCGGCCTGTCGATGGCCGCTGCCTCCTGCGGAACCCCATGCCAAGAACGAGCTGTCTCCACTTCAGGGGTCAGACATGTTTCAAGGCGACATCCATGCTCGGAGGCGGCTCCTGTTGGCGAGCGTCTCCTTTTCTCAGCCTGCAAAGTCTGGACTCAACGTGTCAGAGCAGCTGGTCTGGGCACGCTGTCCAGCAGCCGAGCCATGGGCACATGGCCCCAACCCTGCAGCAAGGGTTCACTTCTCAGGAAAGATGGGGGATCTAGGCCTCTGCTGGGAGAGTCTCGGCCAGCGAATGGGTGGCTGCTCCGGTGTCCAGCTCATCACCCTGTGACTTCTGGGATGGGCACTCGGGAAATGCACACGCCTCTGTGACGGGATCCCGGCCAGGCGCGCCCCGGACATGGCTCGCATCCTAACATCAGAAAATCGGAATACTGCGCTTTTGGAGGAAGTGGCAAATCGAAGTGAACCGTATCAGGCTGTATCCATGCTGAGCACCAGCACGCATTGCGGAATCGGTTCATCGCCTTGCAGCAGCAGGGTCGCGAGATGTTTCACCCAAGGAGTCCGAAGTCACAGCTGGTCCAATCGATGGCCGCCAAGTCCAACCGTCAACAAATGTCGCAGGCTCATGTCCGAAGCCCCTCGCCACTCTCGGCTCGAAGCCGAGCGCAGTCTAACGATTCAAGCGCAGGGTTTCCGATGGAGAAAGAAGTCAAAGAAACCACATCCAGCCTTCCGTGGAAGACCGGCCGCTGGAGGCTTGTCAACCTGAGCAGGCAGGGCTTCTGGCTGGCATGCCCGCTATTTGGGGGTGGGTGGGGGGGGGGGGGGNNCGGTTCGTGCTCTACCTGTGGCATCGATGCGGGTTTGGGCTCCGACCTAAGCCAGATTCCACAACTGCTGCGTAAAACCTGAAGAGAACCGCCATCCCAAAAACACACAGCTTGACACCTAACTAACCGCTTTGAGCTCACGCCAGCCCCGTGGTCCTGCCTTTTCATGCTTGCTACCGTTTCTGTGTCTTCGCTATTGTATCCCAAATATCCGACCCTTCGGGCGGTTCCCCCCGTAGTGGCATCAATCTGGCTATTGGTTGCAGTGTCCGTTGGTTCTGAAGTGAGTCAAAATCACCAAAATCTCACTACCCTACTTGCAACCTCATATAAAAGAACATCACGAAGACGACCACAGCGACGCCAATCATTGAAACTATATTGAAACTACCATGTGTCAGTGTCGAAGCATGTAAACGTTGACCTCCAAGCACGAAAGAGCAACCGCATGAGCAACTGCACACACGCAGCTGGTCGCGGCGTGAGACAACGACGAAGCTTTATGGCTTTGACAGCTGGTCGCACGACTTGCTGTGCTTTGCAGACACGCTGTGAGAGACCGCCCTTTCCTGGGGCAAGCGCATTTTTTTCGTTGTGCGCGGGCACTGCTACGCCAAGGATCCGACCCGGCGGATCGTCAGATGAATAGGCCCAGATCGCGCCTGCCAGCTCGAGCTCACAGCAGCTCACATGTGTCATATTCTAGCCCAGACAGGTGGGTGTCCCGCTCGCATCCTCAAGCTCTAGACCAAAGTAGACTTCAGACTAGCCCGATTTCTTCCTGCTACAGTGCCACAGCAGCTCCGACTCTGCACAGAGCGTTTTTTTTGATTCTGGTCTCCACGGTCCTATGTACATGCAGCACGGCATGCTAGACAGCAGGTAGCAGAAACCGTCCAGCTTCCAGAAAGCTGAAGCGCTTACTGTTCTTGCTGGACAAGCTACCAGCTACCAGGTCCTCACTTGCGTCGTCCGGTTGGTTGCAACATGTTGCAACTGCAACGTTGGCAAGACATCGCTGCAAGTGATGCCAGACGTGCTGCAGACACCTTCGCAACATGCCGCTCCAGCAGCCAACAAGATTGTTTGTGTAATTCTCAGCTGGTCTAGCTGCCAATGCCAACTTCAGAAAACATTGGCTTGCATCCTGCCTTCACCTCGCTGCTATGAGGAGCTGTCTTTTGACTTCTTTCGTTTCTTGCCCTCCAGGGATTACACAAGCTAAGCGACCTGATCACAGAACGTGGAGAATGCTCTCGGAGAGCTGACTTTGAGGTGCCCACCTTTTTGTCCTTCTTGTGTTTTTTCGCCTTGTGCTTTTCTTTTTTTTTCTCTTTGCCATGCTTTTGCTTGGTCTTTTCTGACTTGCCCTTCCTTTCGGAACTCTTTTCCGTCTCCTTGCGGTTTCGAGGCTCTTTGTCCTCCTGATGCCCTCGCACGCCGGTCCTTAAAGATCTGAGCTCAGTTCTCAAGCCAAGGTCCAAGAAGGATTGCCATCGATGACAGCAAGTCTGAGACTGCAGGCCCGGGAGTGCGTTGTCTGCCCGTCAGGAGCTCGAGCTCCCGGTCCTTCACAGCTCCACAAGGCCTGGATGTAACCTATGCTCCCCGTTGCATTAAATCCGCCCCTTTTGCCCATGCCTCCACGGCATTCCGTTTTACTGACCCAGTGGGGGGCGGCTCGGCGCCGGCCGCCACGGCACCACCAGCATTCCACAGCCGCGAAGAGTAGTCCTAAGCACGAGAAACCCGGCTTGAAGACCCTTTTAAAGAGAGAACGGCAGCAGCCATCGCAAACAAGTGTCTCTCAGCTCTGACACCTTCTCCTTGGGCCGGCGGGTGTCCTGCAGCCAGGTATTACCACGACGGCACGCCCGAAGGCAGGCGGTAGAGAATCTGCAGCGCAGGTTACATGGTGCATCACGACATAAGTGTCGAAGTGCAACGCAGCACAAGCCGTCCAAGCCGGACAGCTCCGGCTTCTCTTGGGGTGGCGCTGCTCCAAAGGCCTCTGATCAACAAAGCTTCTGAAAGCCCTTGAGCCAGCTCAGCCACCTCCAACTATGTCCCGCCTGGCCCATCCACGGGGCCATCTTTTGGCCGCGGCGACGACCCCCGAAGTCCATTGGCTCTCGACCCTGGCTCCCGCTCACAAAATCCATCAAACCCTGTCTGGGTCCCTGGGCGGCCCTCCCTTCCCAATCCACGGCAAGGGTGCATCCGCGATGCGGCGCTCGGCGTTGTCCGCAGCGCGGGTGGCGTAGCCGGCAGCACCTCGAGGTGAGCGCCCACGGTCATCACCAGAAAGCTCGTCCTGAGTGACTCATCAACAAGACCCTCAACTCGTTCAAGAACCTGCTTCTTTCCAGCCGGCTACATGAAGCATGTTGCAAGCAACTCTTAAAGGGAGGCTTCACAACAGGTGAATCTTGTGCCTTGTCACTGAGGAACTGATTGACTAACGGTGAAGGCCCCAGCGAAAAGGATTCTGCCCTGGCCAATTTGCGGTCGAACGGCATCGATGTCATAATCCTGTGCAAACATCTCTTAGACCCCCGGCTGGCAGGACGGCATGTTCAGGAAGCAGCCAGGGCTGTCTGTACGTCAGGTCTGCAGTGGCAGTCAGTGGCACTAGTCTTCCATGTTGTGGCATGGTGCCGCGCTCCGAATATCAAGTTGTGGTATGCATACAAGGACGTTTGGCGAGCGCAGCGCTGCGAGCCAAAGACAGCTTTCATGCGAAGTTTGACACACGCACGGACTCTCGGAGTTTACCTGCGAAGCTGACAGCCTGGCCTCAAGGAGAGCTCGCTGAAGCTTCTGCCCGGCCCCGTGAACTCCATTCACTCCTGAAAAGACCGACACGTCGGAGGTGTTGGGGAGTCGGATAGGAGGGGTGCGCTTGGTTTTGGGGGGTGTGAGAACATGGCATGCGGGCGTCTTCAGACTTGGCTTCGCTGAGCAGGAATCCTGGTCGTGACTTGATGGGACCCTAATTTACTAGCTTGGCTTCAGCTGCACCGACTCATCTATTTAGTCGATGTGGAGTGACTAACCGTTTTACCGAAAGCAGGCTACATTAACCGCAGCACAGGCACCCTCGATTCGAAAGCCGGTCATCACCACCAAGTGGAAGCGGCTCCCCCTGCACGGCATTCAACCACTGAAGGTTGAGTCGGACAACGAGTTATGGGTAGTAAGGTCCAAACTCAATGCAGCTCCTGTTGTGGTGATCCATGCGGCTGTCTGGTACCTTTCGAGCAAGCATTTCCCCAGCTGCAACCCTCGTCGCCCTAATGGGACCTAATACTTCCACAAAAGTGCAAGACCGGCAGATTTGGGCTCTGGAGGCACTATATCTTTGATCGTCAAGCCCGTGTCCCTGTCATTCATCGGAGGGTCATACCTGGCCAAAACATATTTGACAAACGCTCCAGGACACGTGACGCATGCCGTGGGCCACTCAGAGTTTTTGAGAACCTAAACAGGCCAGGTCAGCTTCAGGCCGACCACTCGTCCCGGGGCCTGCAACAAGCTTATTTGACAGATTGGCGTCAACTCGGAAAAAAATCGGGCAAACACTCCTAAGGAAGCATTGAGGCTGCACTGAGAGGGACGGCACTGATCTGGCGCTTCAAGCGACTCCCAGCGTTTGAAGATACTGTGGCCTCCTGCCCAGCTGGCAGCTTGACCTGCGAAAGGCTCTGAAGGCGACCGAGAGTCCAGAGGCAGAGGGCATCTCGCGACAAGATGGCATCAGTCTGACTCAGACTACGTTAGGCCTCAAAGACTGGCGGGAAGCGCAGAATCCGGAGACGCACCACCGCACGCTTCTGGAGCTCCTGGGACATGTCCTGAAGCCCAAGTGGAAGCAGAACGAGTCCCGAAGTAGAGCCCGAAGCCTGAGCCCCCGCCGCGCCGAGAACCACTAAATAAAAATGCCTTATGTTCCCGCAGTGAAAACGGAGGGCTGCTTCAGGGAAGACCTGCGGAAATGCCAGACTTCTACTTTTTGCCAGAATCCCTTCAGGATGTCGCCAGAGCTGCATGGCATTTTGCCTTGCAACTCTGCTTTAAGATAAAACAAGAGACCGGCCGGAGGCAGACCTCTTAACATGACTCGGCCGCAGGAGACGACGAGCTTTGCATGGGCGCCGTGCCAGGAACCCAAGCTCAGCGCTTGCCCCGAGTGTGGAATATGGAAGTGACCCCAGCATTCCAGTCACCCAAATCACAGGTGCCATGCCACCAGCTTAGGTCATAGGTGTGGCCGGGAACATACAGAGCCTCTCCTGCGTGAAGCACGCACTCGACACCTGCCTCTGTTTGGTTCTGGATGTAGTCTTCCACTCCCAGCTTGTGCGGGGCATAGCTATGCTTCTGGTCGCGTTTGAAAAAGGGACTGCACATTGCCGGGTGAGTTATGGGAATGACTGAATGGCGATCTTCGGCATCCTCCGGGAATGCCTGGGCCGGTGACATGACCCAACCTTTGCTTCCCAGAATCTGTGTGAAGATGAAGCGGTTGTGGATGTGCATCTGGTTCCACTGGCCTTAGCGAGGCCATGCACTTGGAGCTTCAGCGCTTTCTACAGGCTTTCTACAGGCTTAGGCCCGGGCCTCGGTGCCCGAAGGAAACACCGCGGTTCTCCCAGGTGCCCTCGGTGTCCTTGCGTAAGTTCACATCTGCAGGGGACCCAAACTGCAATGTGCAGGCGCGGCGGCTCCTTCGGCAAAACCACGTAGCGCGAGTCTTCAGGGAGATTCTCCGTCACAGACTTGAGGATTTTGGTGACCATCTTGTCCGCCACCTGAGAGGCACCCAAAGCAGCAACGGAACCCTCAAGCAACCAATGACAGCAGGGCACCTCGTCCTCGAAGAAGATCAGGTTACCGGGCTGGTTGGCTTTGGTGGCATCCTCAACGGTTTCCACATCATCGATATGGTCCCGGAGGAAGGCACCGGCACCCAAATGGTCGAAGGCCGAATCATACAACTCAAAGTCGCCGTAGCGGTCAAGCAGCTCGGCCTGCGGACAAGTTCACTAATCTGCTTGGCCTGCCGACCTACTTTGCATAGCCCCACCTTCGAGAGGTCTGAGGTCCAATGCTCATTGGGGTCGAAAACATTTGTCAAAATCGCGGGCTTGTCAAGATTATCCAGCTCCTCATCGCGAACCTTCTGAGCATCCATCCTGCGAAGGGGACATCGATTCTTCTTGTCCACAGGTGCAACGTCGTCGGCGACCATCCTGTATTCATGAAGCTGCTGGTCCCAATCGATGCGGTCCAGTGGGTCTGACCTTTCTGCACCTTTCTGGAGTACCGATGTGTGCTGGGCCCTGGCTTTCGAGTGCGCGCTGCTGGCTAACATATCGACATTCGGCATGCGAGCAACTCGCTTCTTTGACAAGAGGCACTGGCCATCATTGTCCTCAGGTGTTTCCTGTAACGAGTTGCCAAGTGCCACTACTAGCCCGAGCACGATGCAGACTGACCGCATGGCTCTTGAAACGGGGGTTCGGTCTCTGATTGGAGCTTACACGCCAACTCGAGCCACGTCGGGGCTGACCAGGGACTGCATTGAGTCACATATGTGCCTGCTAACAGTTGCTAGCAGCAACCAAACGCTGTCAAGCCCTGTAGGCCCCATAGGGTCTCTCTGGAATGTGTGTTGTTTGTCTGTGGCCTTGAGCCCTGGTACGCCGTTGACCTCAGCGACATAATCGCACGGCTGCACCTGCAGGGGAAACGAATTCGCAGCCGAAGGCCATTTAGAGCCAGCCGGCACTCCTGGTGATGCCGCCCAGCTGCCTTTGCGAAAGAGAATTCCTCGTTCCAGGCGCCGAGCTTGCCAGTCGGAGCCTGCGAAAGGCCGGGCCAAGGCTTCGGGTACTTCGCTAGAGCCTAGTGTGTCAGAAAGTTCGGATAAGGATTCCTCGCTGATTCCTCGCTGTGAGCTCTTCGACCCTGCCTAGCAACCTGGACCCTGAAAGATTTTACTTCCCACTCTCTTCTCCTCCTTTTCAATTCGCCACTGAGGCCGAAACAATTGCATTGATGAACAGCATGTCCGGCCTAAGCGGCTTCGAACTCCGCAACTGCGGTAGCGGTGCAGCCCTTCTCAAACCCTTTAGAGCGCCTCCGGCCGACTTCACCGCTGCGAAAGCATTGGCTTTTTCGCCCCAATTTCCGAGCAGTGAGACTCCTGGCAGCGTGCCTTAGAGGCAGCGCTTGAGATTGAATACGTCGCCTCACGTGTTCACGGAGGGCAACGCCTCATCGCTGGATCCAAGCTATGCTTAGGATCAGCTTCCTACCTTCTGCACTCCGAGGTGACCCCGGTGCAGCACCTCCTAGTCCTATGAGTTTAGGAGCCCGGTGATAACGGGCTCTCGGAACCAAGGAATCTTTGAGTCCCGGGGCAGCTGCAGCTGCCGCAGACTTATCCTTGGAACTTCATGCCAGCGCCGAGGATTCGCGAGTCTGTGACGATTCTGCCCAAACAAGCACCCCTACAGCTTTGGCGAGGAGCATGAAGCTCAGAATCGGTTCTAAAATGAACAAGGAGCATTGTGCTCTCTGGAGCAGTCAGTGGCTCCACACGTATCACAAAACGGCTTGAATTCAGACACATGCATCACCATGCATCACCGTTGCACTCACGAATTGTACCCTCTATGGGTAATTAAATTATGCTCTGCTTCTTGCCCCGCAAAGAAATGGACAGGCCATGAGCAATGTGCACACGTTCGTTCTTTCTTGCTCAGCTTTCTTTCCGGAGCTGTCAGGTGCTTCGGACGGGCAAACGGCCAGGACGAAGCGAAAGCTGTGTCCCCTGAGCACCGCAGGCCCAAGAACATGGTCAAGATGGTCAAAAAAGCTGCAGGTACTGTAGCCAAAGGGGTCTTTGAAGGAAGTTAAGTTACCGATCAGAATGCGTGGAGGTAACGAGCCTACCATCCGTGATCCAATACCTGAATCCGTCTCACTGAAGATGGACCCTCACTGCATCTCATTCCAATTGCCATGACAAGCCTTTAACCACTCGGATTGAACTCCTCCATCTTAGACAGCAGCTTGTCCGCCTGAGGCCCAGCCAGATGCAAACTCGAAACTCATGCACCTCGTGCGCCCACGAGGACGCGACGTAGTTCGGAGAGTAATACTGTACGATCTCTGGAGGATAGAGCATGTTGATCGAGTCGATGAAATCCTCCGAATCGGATTCTCGGATGAAGTCAAAGCTGCATCACTACATCTCCGTAATTGATTAGGCACAATGCAAGTCCAGCTAGACATGTTCGAGCCTGACACTCAGCCCCCACAAACTTCCATTCTTTAAGTGCGCGGAATGCACGAGGCTCGGCCTGCAGCTTGGACCCTGTTTCTGCACCAACCTCATGGGACCGGCACTGGAAGGACTGCAGAGGACTACCACGGCAGTGCATGACGGAGCCTCCTGCACCTTCTGCAGGCTGCCGGATTGCACGAAAGCCCGCCGGGCGTCTATGTCGTTGGGCAAGACTTTAGCAAATTGCTGGATGACATACCTCGGCGACATTTACAACACAGCATCCTGAAGAAATTCCCAGCTTTCTGAATCTGCAGTACAATGATGCTTCCAGAAAGGCGCTTCAAGATGTTCGGTGGAGAGTCGATAAGCGGCTCGAGAGCTGGCAGGTGCGTACACTTCTGGATGATGCTCTTCCTGGGCCGGCAAACTCTCCAAGCATCCACTACCTGGACCCAGCTCTTCTGGGGCAAATGACGTGTGAGTCGAAGAGCTGTTTTCTCACCCTTTAGATACGCAGCCTGTAGCCTTGGCACGCGATGAGAGCCATCAACACTTCAAGTTCAGCAAAGCTTCAGGGCTCGCTTGGTCTTGATCTGCAGATCCTCACTCGAGTCCTGCCGGCTAGGTGGACTTACTTTCTGACCTTCTGAACCCAACAACCAACTTCACACGGTGCAAAGCGTCACCACTCTCACACTGTTTCTCTTCTTCCAGGGTGCGCAACGGCAGGCCAGCATATCAGGAGGCATAGCGCAAACGCAGATGCTGACAGCTTCGCCGATCTCTCGGCCAAGCGCAAAGGCAAACCCAACTTAACTCGGGGCCAGGGATGAGCACATCACGGGACCCCGTCTCACAGCGAACCCACGCCGGCGATGTCCCAAGACAAACAAGCTTCCACGTGAAGACTGTATGCCTTCGTGCACTGACAGCTCCTGGTGAAGGTACACAGCAAGCATCCTGCAACATGGCTGGGCATGTGCATATCTTCTCATTCCCAAGGTTCCACGCAAGAATTTCCCAGTGTGAGATAGCCTCCGCAGCACATCCGCCTCGGCCAATGCCCTCGCATGATCCGGGGAGTGACGGCCTCTCAGAAGAGGCATCTCGGAAAGAGTCGAACGAATGTTACAGCGAGCTGCACGGAGGATGCAACATGAACTTGGCATGCAATGCGGTTACGTGATATTACTTGCCTATCTGCCCCAGTGACCACGCGGCCGCCGCCTTCACATGATCCTGCAGGCAAAGACCGAACCGGGTAGGCAGCTCTCTCGTGACTTGTCACAGGCTGCAAGTCGTCCTCCGGTTCGCTGATGAGCGCATCCTTTAAGGGAGGGACTCCTTTCGAAACCACCTGGGCTTGGCTTCACCGGCAGACGCTGGCTGCTAAGAAGGATACAGAAAAGCGCACCGGGCTACCACTCTTACAATGTTTGTAGCTTATGACAGCCGAAAAACAGCACGGAGCATGTGTGCAATTCACGGGAATAGCAGCCCAACCCCATTGTTACAACTTATTTGACTGGAACCATTCTGCGTTCATGGGACCACGGCCAATGCAAGCGTCTCGGAGAAAGCGGCCACATAGCCTGGACGACATGGGCAGCACTTGATTGCCTCTTCTGACCCTGATGTCCAGACAAGCGGCCCAAGGTCATAATGCCCGGCAATCCTTATGACAATCATCAATATTTCTAGGGCTTTCTAGTATGGACAGCGCTGGCAGCATACTAGCATACAAGGCGAGCTGCTGCAGTTCCCACGAGCTTCGTTTACGAAATCGACCATCGCAGCGATTCCTCCAGCATTTACCTGTGGCACTCGATATGGTCTCGCTGTCAAAGGATTCAGTAGCGTTGAAAGACTGGAAAGCCTTTGTGCAGCTGAGGCACAATCAGCTTGGCCAAGTCTGGGGTATGCCTGGAAAGCTCTCCTGAAAAACCAGACAGTAGAGTTCCCCCATGCCCATTCATCTTTGTATGTGTCACTCAACTAAACACCCCGCAGAAGCATCCTGACAAGGTTGTTGGCCGCATCTTACCGCGCAGGAAAGTTTAGTTTGTACGAGCAGCAGCCTGTCACCATTTTCATGCCCAGTCTCATACCGTTCCTGAACCATCCCCACAAACTCTGGCACAAATCTTCAACCCAGCGGCGAACGCAGGTGGCAGCATTTTTCCGGACAGACCTGGAGCTGTGCAGGCGTAACGTTTTCGCGCGGCAGCTCATGCGCAGGGTTCTTGCTACCTGCAAGCGTGTGATGAAAGCCTCTTTTGCTCCGTTACGAACCCTGCAACATGCTGGCTTGAAGGTTTCGAGTCGCGCTAGAGGTCGGAAGGACAAGCGACTCCTTCCTTCGGCAGGGTCAATCGGGGTGAGGACACGGCAATTGCGCTGCGTGAACCCGGCATACAGACATTTACCACTCTCGGCCTTGTAAAGCCACGAAGCCCACAAAAGAGCAAGGAAGGGTGCCTTCTAGTGTCGAAGATGAAACGGACAGCTACACTTGCACTTGCAATGCTACGATCTGAGACAGCGAAAACCAATCATTAGAGCTGCTCGTCGACATCCTTCAAGCAGTGCAGAATCGTTGGGAAGATCTCAGACTCGACCACGACTTCCGCGAGGTCGACCTTCCCAACGTCATGGCGGGCTCATCTTGCTTCGCAGAAGGTGCAGGTCAAAGAGGCTGGCAGCACAAGACTTCTTTGACGGTCCCGTAGGCTCAATGGAAGCCGAGATTCAGAATGCTTGGCTATCTGCGACAAGCATGAGCAGACTTGCCGCTTCAGAGGGGCATCGTTGTTCGAAATTTCCTGCACCAGAGAGACAAGCCGTCAGTGCAGGCCCGGCCCGAAAACCCACGACCTGAATTGCAAAGCGACAGAGCCCAAACTACCAGTATCTCCCATAGATGTGTGGGCCGGTTTGAAGGTTTGAGGGTCTCGCCTTGGTGAGGAGTGTCACGGCGCCTGCATCCACCACCAGCTGTGCGAGCTGAGGGCTGTGCTTCGAAATGTCGCTCAGAGCCTCAAAAAGCTCCAGAAGCGTCGACTCCAACCGCACCAGAGCATAAAACTGCCACGGTGCTGAAGCAGTGATGCGCTTCAGGGTCAGTTCAGGCTCCTCACGAGGCAACGAGGCGAAATCCTTCCCTGGCGCAGTTTCCTGCAAGGCCGATTGACACCAAAGATCCGTGCATACACCCGTCCTGGAAACTGAGTACGAGGAGAGGCACGGCACCAGCGTCTACGACGCTTTGCGCCAGGTCTTTGCTGTGCCTCGCCTCGGCCACACCGGCGAGTTGCCGCGAGCCCGAAGAAGCCGCCAAACCGGGATCCAGGCGATGTATCCCAAAGCCCAAGCTGCAGCTTCCTTGACGGTGGGGTCGAATTCCTCGAATCACCGCACCGAATGCATGTCTGATGCTCAGAACCGCCCTCGCCTCCAAGCACATCACCAACGCGTCAAGGGCGCCGGAATCGATAACGGCCTGTCAGCGTCGCTAGGGAAGGAAGAAGGCCCTCTTAGCAAACTGGACTTCGACGGGGGTGCCTGCGCCAAAGGCGGCGAGTGCTTCGCGACTGCCCGCAAAACAAACGCAGCAGCCTTCTTGTAAAAACCTGGTCGCAGCATGCATGCTTAAGGTGGCAGTTCTCATCCGTCTGCGCAGTGGCCCCACTTTTTGGCCGTTGTCGTTTGTCGGGAACTGGTGAGCAAGACTAAACCCACCAAGTCTCGGGACTTTGCTAGGCCTGTCATCCTTGT